AGAAAAAAACATAGGAAAAAATCTCTTGGACATAAACATGAGCAACTTCTTCATGAACATATTTCCCTGGGCACGGGAAACATAAGCAAAAATGAACAAGTGGGACTATATCAAGCTGAAAAGCTTCTGTACAGCAAAGGACACCATCTGTAGAACAAAAGACATCCTGCAATATGGGAGAATATATTCATAAATTACATATCTGATAAGGAGTTGACATCCAAATTACACAAAGAGCTCATGCACCTCAACAAACAAAAAGCAAATAATCCAATTAAAAAATGGGCAGAGGAGCTAAATGGACACTTCTCCAAAGAAGAACTTCAGAGGGCCAACAGGTGCATGAAAAGATGCTCCACATCACTAATCATCAGAAAAATGCAAATTAAAACCACAATGAGATATCACCTCACACCAGTTAGGATGGCCACCATCCAAAAGACAAACAACAACAAATGTTGGTGAGGTTGTGGAGAAAGGGGAACCCTCCTACACTGCTGGTGGGAGTGTAAATTAGTTCAACCATTGTGGAAAGCAGTATGGAGTTTCCTCAAAAAACTCAAAATAGAAATACCATTTGACCCAGGAATTCCACTTCTAGGAATTTACTATAAGAACGCAGGAGCCCAGTTTGAAAAAGACATACACACCCCTATGTTTATCGCAGCACTATTTACAATAGCCAAGAAATGGAAGCAACCTAAGTGTCCATCAGTAAATGAATGGATAAAGAAGATGTGGTACATATACACAATGGAATATTATTTAGCCATGAGGAGAAAACAGATCCTATCATTTGCAACAACATGGATGAAGCTAGAGGGTATTATGCTCAGTGAAATAAGACAGGAGGAGAAAGATAAGTATCAAATGATTTCACTCATCTGTGGAGCAAAAGAACAAAGAAAAAACTGAAGGAACAAAACAGCAGCAGACTCACAGAACCCAAGAATGGACTAACAGTTACCAAAGGGAAAGGGACTGGGGAAGATGGGTGGGAAGGGAGGGATATCGGGGAAAAAGGGGTATTACAATTAGCATACATAATGTAGTGGGGTGGGGTAGGGGGGACATGGGGAAGGCAGTATAACACAGAGAAGACAAGTAATGATTCTATAGCATCTTACTATGCTGATGGACAGTGACTGTAATGGGGTATGTGGTGAGGACTTGATAATAGGGAGAGTCTAATAACCATAATGTTGCTCATGTAATTGTATATTAATAATACAAAAAAAGGAGATGAGGTATGATTATTTCACTTAAAAATTTAAGAGCAATTGTTGACATTTTAAAATAGTAATTATTTACATTTCTCTCCCTCAAATTTTTTAAAGGGACATTTAAAACAATGTCCTCACACTGCTATTAGTTGGTATGCCTCTTAAGGCTCCTTTAAAGAATAATCACCTAGTTCTCCTTTTTTTCTTTGCAATTTATTTGTTGAAGAAACTGGGTCTTTTTGTCCTGTAGAATTATCTGTGGTCTGGATTTTGCTGCTTGCATCCCTACAGTTTCGTTTAACATGTTCTGCTTATTGTTGTATTTATGTAACTTGGTATTTAAATATACAGGTTAGAGAGAATTATGTCTGATTAGCTGGCATGTGGCTCCGTTATAGTTGCTCATGGGTTCTTCCATCCGGATGCAATAGTGTCCCTTTGTTTGCAATGGCAGCTGCCATTAATAATGTTTTCTCAGATTCATTATTTCATGAGGGTTTACAAAATGGGTACGTGTCAGTTGTACCATTCTTATTAGCTGGACTACTTAAAAAGAGAAACTTCTCTGTATAAAAGATAATTAATGTAGTCTGAGGTATGATATTCATAAAAAGGCTAAGACTTATGCTAATTGTAATACCCCTTTTTCCCCGATATCCCTCCCTTCCCACCCATCTTCCCCAGTCCCTTTCCCTTTGGTAACTTGTATTTACAAGTTTTCAAAATAATGAATTATTTCTCCAGCATTCTCCAAATATGACCAATGAGGAATTTAAAAAAAATATCATTATGAATTTGCGGATTTAAACTTATTTGATACATTTCCATCCTTATTGCTCAAATTATCTCATCTTTGGCCAGTGGGAGTATCTTCATGTTGGTTTGTGAGTCCTTTGGATAAGATCATGTTACTCTTTAGTAGCTTCCTTGCCTGTGGTATGATATGACATGCCAGCTTCAACTGGTATACATTTTCTGCACCAGATCTGGAATCAGCTGTTTCTCTGAGGAGGCCTGTGTTTTTTAGTGAAAATGGTATTTTAGAACTGCAATAAGGTTTCTAGACTTTTTCGGTGGACAGAACTAGGGAAAAACAGTTTGTTTTTTTTTAGAGATAAAATACATGGTGAATTCATACTGATACTTCTAATAAAGTCAGGATTACGGTGTTTTTTTTTTTAACTTTACCAATCTTACATCACCTGTATCTCCTTCCCATGCTGAAATTGATTAGTTCCCAAGGACAACAACATAACTTGCCTTGTCCCACAAAATATACCCAACAAAATAACAGTATCAACAATATGTCAACAATGTGTTACCTGAAAACAATTGTATTATTATTTGTATAGGTCTTTTATGTCTTTGGGGCCTAACCTACTATGATTGTATAAAGTATTGTGTTGTAAAGTCACTTAAGGTAGGTTTTTAACTCATTAAAAAATTTTGTTTCTGTTTTTAGGAATTTTAAAATTTAGTGTTGTTTTACAATTACATAAAATATTTACATGACCTCAAATTCTAATATACAAAATAAAATCTATTTGGAGTAGTATAATTTTTGCCCCTGCCTCCACTGTATTCTCTCCCTCTCCCACAGATAATCTTAAAAACTTTTACTTGTTGATTATTATTCCATTATTTTTTCTAGTTATTATAGTGTTTTTAAAGATATGTGTAACTGGCCAGGGTCATTAGCAAATTATGTAAACAGTTGTTACAAACTGAAGCTGTAGAATCTAGGAGTAAGAAGGTAAAGCGAGGGCTGGATGTAGGTGTTGGGCTTCTGATGGTCATAGCAGCAGTGGTTATGACCTGGAGATTCAAGAAATTCTCCTGTTTCTTGCTTGAATAAACAAAGGAAAATGCTTTTGGAAAATATTCTGGGAGAATATTAGGAAAAAATAGGATGATAATAAGAGGTAAAGATTCCTTCATTCAATTTTTATGGAGGGTCTACTATTTTCTTGGAATGTTGATGGGGGCAAGACCAACCAAGTTTTAGGGAAGGTCCAATTTCTTAGTCAGGATACATATTTATTTGTAATTACATGGGTTTTCTTCATATATTTTCTTCATGTATGTTCTTCATAGAATAACAGTACTGACAAAGATCCATTGTATTTGGTGAAAAGCACTTGCATGTAAATACATTTGGGTTTAATGCATTTCAGCTAAGATATTTTATAAGGTGCTGTGGGGATATAGATGTGCAAAAGACATGGTCCTGCCTTTAGGACTTTCAAAGTCAATAAAGAGAGGTGAAAAAAGATTTCCTAGACATACAACTGTGGCAAATAAGTACTAGAAGGGAAATAAGGCTGAAGGTCATAGAAACCCAGCAGAGGAAAAGTTTGTTTTGAATTGGGGGTATCAGAGAATGTTCCAGTCCAGCTCTGAAGTTCTGTGGCTTCTTATTTTATTAGATGGCTTTTGGGGAAGAATTCAACAAATGGCAAGGCAGGGAGAAAGGGCATCCCAGAAAGAAAGGGACAGGTGACCAGTGAGAATGTAGGTATGTTTGTGGGACTCATTTGCTCATATGAATTAGTTTTAAAGTCAAAATGTGGACCCAAACAATTCAACCTGTTTAGAAATGTTTGATGATTTGACAGAATCAACCAGTCTGGTCTTAGGGAAACATTTTTAGACACAGAGAACATATTTTCTCTCTTACAGTTGCATTATCTAGAGCTGGCAATTAATTTTTTTAAAAATTAAGACCTGTTTGTGAAAAAGGCAAAAAAGATCTCTTTAAAGATCCTGTCGTTTCACAAAAATCTCAGTTGCTCTTTTCACAGCCCTGAAAGTGGAATTGTTGGGTGAAATCGGAAAAATTGTTCTCAATTTTTCTAAATAGTTATAAGGTGTTATCTATTATAGGGCTGCTTTTATTTTTGCTATGTGACTTGTCAGGTTTGGGAGCAAATAAAATGTTCCTGGATACTGTGGTAAGAGAAAGAAATTATATATCTTCCTCGGCTTATGATGGGGTTATATCCTAACAAATCCATCATAAATTGAAAATATCCGAAGTCAAAACTGCATTTAATATACCAAGCTTATGAATATCATAGTTTAGCTTAGCTTACCCCTAATGTGCTCAGAACACTTACATTAGCTTGCAGTTGGCTAAAGTCATCTAACACAAAGCCTATTTTATAATAAAGTGTTGAGTATCACATGCAATTTATTGATACTGTATTGAGAGTGAAAAGAGAGTTATTGTATGGGTACAGAATGGTTCTAAATGTATCAATTGTTTACCCTTGTGATCATGTGGCTGCCAGAGAGCTGTAGCTCACTGCCACTGCAGCAGAGAGAGAGAGAGTATCCTACTACACACTGCTTCCCAGGGAAAAGAGCAAAATTAAAAATTTGAAATATGATTTCTACTGAATGCCTATCACCTTTGTACCACTAGTGAGTGGAAAAATTTTAAGTCAAAAAATTGTAAGTTGAACCATTGCAAGTCAGGGATCGTCTGTACTGCATTTCATTGGACCCAAGATGCCATTGGCTATAAGGTGAGCTGCTATTTTAATGTACCATTAAGAAAGGGGAAAAATGTCAATTAAGTGGTGACACAATAATAGATTAATTCCCAAATTTCAAAGATGTTAAAGTGTGAAATAAGTGTGCATTTTAGAATGGATGATATATGGCATTCATTAAGTGCCTACCATATACCATGTTCTGTTCCTGATTCTTGACAAACATCTCAGATAATTTTTACAAAAACCTTGTGACATGGGTATCCCTACCCCCATTTTACAGATGAGGAAAGTGAGGCACAGTGAAGCTAAGACATTGGTTAAAGATCACAGAGTTGGTAAGTGGAAAAAACTCCTCATACTTTCCCCTTCTCAAACTTAATCTATGTCTCTCCCATCAAGCTATGTGTTGATAAATGTGATACTCTTGGGTAGCAGGTGGCCTGTTTTTAGCTTGGGCACTTATAGTGTGTGGTGAACTCTTATAGGGCCTTCAAGGTGAGTCAAAGCTTCACGCTGCCCTAACTCAGATGGTCTTGGCCATGAGACACATTGAGACTTCATAAGCCTGGGGAGGGGATAAAGGAAGGGCAGTGTTGGTCTGGACCAAAAGGAGTTAGCTGGACTCAGGGTGTAACATCCAAAAGGCCAAAGCAAGTTATTCAGAACTGACATAGTTAGGAGTCCTTGCCCAAAGAGATTGTCTGATGGATGAGCAGCATAACAGGCATTTCCAGTTGGTGGCAATATTCAAAATCTGATAAGGGTTCAAGGTGGCACATCTGCTTGTCTTGGAATCCAAGGGACAGATTCAACCACCTGCTGGAAATTAGTGGGCTGAAACTCAGGACAATGCCTCTAAGCCAGCAGGGAAACAGGTAGGTAAGTGCAGCAGAATTGCAGTATTACAACTTGGAAAGCACAGTGTAAGCAGGGGAAAGCTAAAACTCAGTATGGATGCTCAGCGCTGAGCGAGTCCCTCAGCCAGACTTGCAATGGCTCACCACATCCATATGCCAGCCCTCCCTCTCAGTGTTGACTAGCTTAGATCCAGCCTACTCAGGTGATTTCAGGAGCTGAGGCTGAACTGGCAGGGCTGGAGAAGGAAAGCCATCACATTCTTCACTTAATAGGGAACCCCAGTAAGGCTAGACCATGCAAAAATGAGATGCAGGTTGGACAATCCCATTCTTGCTAGTTTTTTGCTTTCTGAGCCCTCTCTTTGGAGGTTAAGTGCCACTTTGGCTCTTAATTGTAGTGTGGCCATAGGACAGGTTGTTTACCTCTGCTTTCCTCAGTTTCTTTTGTAGTAAAATAGAACTATCTAAATCATAGGTTGGCTGTGAGGAAAGTTGCTTAAGAAAGAATAAATGATAACAAAGTTGGTTTCAATATATGAGTTAGTTCCTCTTCCTTCCAGCTCTCCCAGACTATATATATATTAAATGCCATTTGTATAATTAAAGTGTATCTACCCTCTTCCCACCTTAACAAGGCAATAATGACAATGATTTATGCATGGTCTACAGTTTCCTAGAAATTGTTCTCTTCATTACCCTATTATCTCAGCTGATTTTTCTAACAACTCACTGAAATAGCTGGTGAAATATTATTTTTAGAATTTCAGTTAAATAGTAACAATTTTTTTTCAAACTGCCTATTACAGAGAGGAAAGCTTGACATATTGGTGGAAAAATCTAAACTTGCCCAAATTAGCCCATCTATAGCAGAGGAGAGATGTTAGGGCATAGACGAGTGAAGACAGTTGGAATTGTACTCCAGGTACTATGATACCAGGCATGTAAGGATCACTGAACTCTTAAATTATTGCTTGAGTAATATTAATAAAAATCTTTTGGGGTACACATTTGAATGCCAAATGGTTCTTGACTATCCAAAACAGTGGTTCTCCTTGGTTTCCAGGTAGGGGTTTTAGCTCATGTATCTAACATCCCTGAAGGAGTTTCTGGCCAAGGGGTGTTACTGTGTTCAACAGGAGTAGAATGCAATGCCTTTTAACAAGACAGTTCTTTATTGCTTTTAAAATACTCTGGGCTATTTCCATTCTAAACAACTGAAGCATATACTTATGGAAAAGAAAAGTATACCTAACATATAATTTGGTTGAGAGCAGAACTCTGAGGAAATGAGACACTTGACAGGTAAACATTTGTCTTTGGGATGACTTCCCTTTGTTTGAGGATGGATCACTTGAATAAATCCTTTTAGTTATGTATTTGTAAGGGCCAATACCTACCCATTTTTCTCAGGGAAGCCCAGAAAGTAATGTAATAACCCCAAATGGGATGACTTCCCTTTGTTTGAGGATGGATCACTTGAATAAATCCTTTTAGTAATGTATTTGTAAGAGCCAATACCTACCCATTTTTCTCAGGGAAGCCCAGAAAGTAATGCAATAACCCCAAATGCAAAACCTTCAGAGTAAGATATTGAATGTTCTATTTAATAATGTAAATGTAGTGTATATTAGCAAGTTTATAAAAAGGATTTCCCTAAATCTGGATTTAGACTGTTCTGATTCTGAAAATGATTGTGTCAATGAAGTTAGGTTTCTTTTTTGTCCAAGCAGTGGCAGTACAAGATGGAGAATTATGGCAGTAAGGTCAGGAAAGCCTGGACTTTCTTTCATCTCAAGGCCAAGGGAAGTCTCTTACATGGATGTAGTACAGCTTAAAGCAGCACTAGATGGACTAAGCCTACCAGAGTTAAGATGTAATCACCTTGATTTGGGGCAATGTTAGAGAACTCATATGATTGTCCCAGGTGTATCTTTGAGATGAGAGCAGCACCAACCTGAAGCAAGTGAGTGCTTATGTACCTACCATCCTGAGGTTGGAAGGAGAAGGGCCTTAAACTGGGGAGAAAAGGCTTTTCTTCTTCCTTGGTGTCAAAGAGGGACTTGAATTTAGCTTCGAAGATATGGAAGTGTTGAAGCTTCCTGTGGTTGGGGAGCAGCTGGCTCCTACCCACATCAGGAAAAGACCTGTGGGAGCTAGGTAGTCAGCTTGTGTATGGGCTGTGATGCCCAGAGTAACCATCTTTAGTCATAATTGTGGGTTATGTTCTTGGTATTTTTCTGTTTTCCCTAATCTTTCATTGAAAACTTACTTACAGGGACAGCTTCTTTTTAGATGGGCCTTAGGGCATCAGTGGAGACATCTATGTCCATGCCTAAGGCCAAAGTGAAACTGGGAAAGCATAAACAGACTGGGACAGCTGTTTAGGTGTGAGCAGAGATACTGCACACAAAGTAGAGCAATAATCCGGGGCCAGAATCTGGCTGGGGGAAACAGAGGATTTGTGGAACATGTCATTATTCCTCAATTTTTCACTGCTATCCTTGAGAGAGAACCCAGTGAAAGATGTAACTTTCTGTTTTTACAGTATGTGGGTCAGGGTTATATGGGCATGAAAGAGAGGTTTAACTCTAAAAGCTGGAGAACTTGGGAAAATATCTGAGTCGTACAGCCTTCAACATTCAATTTGGGTATCTTCTTAAAGCCTTCTCAGCCTGTTGTCTGGGTTCAGTCTTTCTTAGTGTTCCTTTAGCACCTGGCTGCTATTATTTACACAACTAAATAATAATAACTTACATTTATTGAGTGCTTACATTGTGCCCAACAGTGAGTTAAGTGCTTAAATGACTTATCTCATTCAGTAATTTGGAATCCCCATTTTTCAGATGAGGAAACTTATACTTGGAGAAGCTATGTAATTTGCCTGAAGCCCCACCACTAGGCATTCATGGAGTTAGCCCTGGAACCCTGGTGGTCTGCCCCAGAACCCATGCACACAGGAATTAGAATGTACTCATTTTATTTCTGTCTTTGCTCACTTAAAAAAACCCCGAGTGTTTCCTTAGGATAGTATCTTTTTTATTTAGAATCTCTGTATCCCTATATTTTAGCATAGGGCTAGGTACATAATGAATCATAATAAATGTTTGACAAACACTTATAGAAAGGGTGAGTGGATGACAGCCTAATGAGCAAAATTTTAAGAAAAGACACTGAAGCTCTTCTTACAGTTTATAAACGAATAAGATAATGTGCTTAGCTCTGTTCCTGGCACATAATAATAACTCAATAAGTGTTAGCTGCTATTATTATTATTATTATTATTATTATTATTATTATTATTGGAAATAAAGACACATCTAAAAGAACAGTTGCTTTTTTTTATAAAATTTTTTTATTAAGGTATTATTGATATACACTCTTATGAAGGTTTCACATGAAAAACAATGTAGTTACTACATTCACCCATATTATCGCATCCCCCCCATACCCCATTGCAGTAACTGTTCGTCAATGTAGTAAGATGCCACAGAGTCACTACTTGTCTTCTCTGTGCTACACTGTCTTCCCCATGATCCCCCCCACACCAAGTGTACTAATCGTAACACCCCTCAATCCCCTTCTCCCTCCATCCCTACCCACCCTCCCCCACCCCTCCCCTTTGGTAACTACTAGTCCCTTCTTGGAATTTGTGAGTCTGCTGCTGTTTTGAAGAATAGTTGCTTTTGCATAGGAATGTGTCATATACCTTAATTTTTTCAAAATTTCCTTCACTTCAACTGCTTATTTCTATACAAGTTTAGAAAGAAGTGAACATTCAGTTTCTGTGCAGTATTTTTAATATGTAGAAGTTAAATATCATTTTTTATATTTTCCCTTGAAATTTGAACTGTGTTTGCTTGAAATATAAGTACAGTCAAGTAGAAAAGAGGACTGTTTCAAGTTCAGTGTAAACGATCTGCAGTGTAATAGTGTGAGAATAGATGATGTTAAATGTAGAAGAGGGTCATATCAAATGCTTCCAGCCACCACAGCCTAAGGACAAAGCCAACTGCCAGATTAGAGGAATATTGTGATTTTACTGTAACACAGAACTCAAATTTTCTCATTTTTGGCTTCATATTCAATCTATTCCGTTATTCTTGCTACAAAAGTATCTCAGTTGATTTCACTTTAAAAATTTTGTGAATAGAAAATTGTACTATGGTGCCGATTTATTTATGGCATTGGGATATCCTGATGTGGGTGTCTTTGAGGAGGCAGGTAGATTGAATGAATTCCATTATTATTATTACTAATTCTTTACCCATTTGTGGCAGAACCTGCTGGTTGCACACCACAACATCCATTCTCTCTCTTCCTCAGTAATATAAAGCTGAAATTAGATAGGGGAAAATATATTCAGCCAAAGGACTTAGTCTCCCTTTTAACTAGGTGTGAGTGTGATTATATGATGGAATTCTGCTCAATGATATATTGAATGGTAGTATTGTGAACTATTTCTGGAAAATCTCATTAAA